GCGTTTTTCTTACATGTGCGTTGAATTATTGGCCTTCTTGGAGGCCTCTTAGGGCCCTCAGAAGGCTCCAAGAGGGCGAGGGCCCCAAGAGGGCCCCAAGATGGCTCCAAGAGGGCCCAACTTTTCAACACAAATTTAACACAAGACGCTCTCCAATGAGGAGGCGGTTTGTCTTAAATGTGTGTTGAATTCTTGGCCCTCTCGGAAGCCTCTCAAGGGCCGTCAGAGGGCTCCCGCAGGGCCCCAAGAGGCCCAGGAGGCCCCCGCGAGGGCCCCAAGATGGCTCCAAGAGGGCCCGAGATCTTACACAGCACCAGCACCACGGGCAGCCCAGGCAGCACTAGCAGCATCGACGCCAGCAACAACAGCAACATCAGTAGCAACAGCAACGAGAGAGGCAGCAACGGAAAGATGATTCCAAGATGGACCCAACAGGGTTTGAAAGGATCATGAGATTACCCCTGTCGCCCAAAGATGGCCACCCCTGCTAAGCAATTACCCCCGTATGACCCTAGAGCGACCCTGCGGCCCCAAGAGAACACCTGGACGAACCCACTGTGTTCCGACTGAACTAAGGCTACCGCGTGACCGGGATGTTAGGTGGCCCCAGGACGACCCCATGAGCCCAAGACGACTTCGAGATTGCCCGAAGATAACCCCTTTCAAACCCTAGTTGACGACACCAAGATTGTGTCAATATGGTTCCAATGTGACTCCGATGCGTTCCTTTCTTCTGCCCTTGCTCTTAGCCTGGGCCGATAGGACAGATGGGGGTGCTGGCCCTCCGTCCCCTCGTCGTCGTTTTCTCCCTCCTCCCCCTCGTCCTCGTCGCCCTCGTCGTCGTCGTCGTCGTCGTCGCTGTCCGCCTGGTCCCGTTGGCCCCATACGTAGCAGAAAACCGAAACCCGAACACAAACCGAATCCATCCATTCTCTGATCGGGCCAGGACACGTCGGGGATCCCTGACATCCCGCGGTCAGAGCGCTCCGGAACGCTCTGAAAGCATTCTGGAACGCCCTTGGGCGAGACCTGTGCGGCGGCACGCGCCGAGCTGCGCCCCTCGAGCCTCGCGGGCCCCGTCGTGGACGCGGCCACTTTCCACTTCCACTTCCGCTGCCCATCTCTGGCTTCCAGGGCTCCTCCTCCTCCTCCTCCTCCTCCTCCTCCTCTCCCTCCTGGAACGCCCCGCCCGGATCATGGAGGCAGGTCTTGCAGGCGCTCCCGGCGCGAGCTGTGGGTCACAGACGCCCGCCCGCGTGGAGACGGCGACCCCCCCCCCAAGGACGGGCTGGCGCCCCCAAGACCAGGCCCTGCGCCGAACCGCTCAAGAGGCCGCTCCGACGGCCCCAATCCTCCTCCTCCTCCTCCTCCTCCTCCTCCTCCTCCTCCTCCTCCTCGTCCTTCACCTCCTCCTCCTTCTCCCGCCAGCCGTTCGGGCGCGGCGGATTTTTGGCGAGCCTCTCCTTCCCCCCTGCCCCTTCGGGGCAGGGTCTCGGGCTGCGGCCTGGCGGCCGTGGACGCTGCGCGTTGCGCGGGGAGGGGCGGGTGCGCACGCCGCCAGGGGGGAGCACGGGCCAGCCCGCTCTGATGCACCCCTTGCACCCTTTCCCCCGCACAGTACGACAATTGACGATCTCAAATCTGTGATGTACAGTCAACCAGTTTAGTGAGGGTGCGCGATAAGGACGCAAGGGCCTTGGACGCCCATTTCAAAGCTACTCGAGCGGGGGGGCGTGGCCAGCGAAAGCGGCGAAGGATGGACCAAGGAGGCAAGGATGCAAGGGTAATCTTGGGAAGGTTGCCTATCCTGACTATTCGGGTTGACTGTATGTGATAGCTTGTTTTGCAGGCGCTCTCGAGAGAAGCCGGGACCCAAACAATTCTTTGGTCCCGAGCCCACTCTGATACCCCCATTTGCGCCCCCCCTCACCTCCCTTGACCGTCGGGGCGGCGTTTCAGGCTGGGGCCCGGGCGGCTGGACCAATTCGTTATTCGGGCAGCCTGTGCGCAGGCTGCGTGCCCCCCGCCCCCGCGTTCCGCTGCCTGCTCCTGCACATCCCTGGCCAGGGCAACTCACCGGGCGATCGTCTCTGGACGGGCCGGCGGGGATCCGCGAGACTTCAAAACTATGGTGTGCCTTCGGCGTGCGAGCCTGCGAGCGCCGGGTTGCCTTGGACGTGAAGCAGGTCCGGAGGGTAAGTAGAAGGACCGCAGGAGAACGGCTTCGGCTAAAGCGAAGCGAGAAGGGGTGGTCGCGTATCCCCATCGGCGCTCACTCTTATAGCTCCCCACGGCTCCCCTGGGCATCTAGGGACCTCCAGATGCCCAGGTGTCCCCAAGATGGCCTCAAGACGGGGCAAGACAAGAGGGCCCAGAGGTCCCACAGACTGCCCCAGAAGGCGTCAAACAGGCCAAGCACGCCTTAAGACAGCCCAGAAAAGGGCCCAAAGAGATCCCAAACGACAACGGGAACGTCGGCGGCAGGACGGGACTCGTGCAC